ACTTTATAACAGAAAATACTTCGAATCTTTTTTTTTTATGTATTAACACACCAAGGACTTTGTGTTTTTTCAGACCTTATCAAGTATTCTTCTATTCACATGAAGAAGGAAAAAAAAAGATTTTGTTCACACTTATGATTGCTTTATACAGTATAGCTCACCATCTCTGTTCCTTCTCTTAAGGGTAGCCTTCCTCCTCCAGTTAGAGCCATCATGCAAAAGGATTTTGGTTATTTTTCAGTTTTTCAATTAGCAGAATAATTGTTTGAATATGATCTGGAAATTGCAGCCTGATGTGAATCCTACTTATTCTCTTGATTGAATAGCAGCTAGGGATTAGTCAATTGGTTACAAAATTTTCTTAAAATACTATGTTGAGTAGTAGGCAGAAGTCAGTAATTATTTTATTTCATCTCTGTCTTGCTTTTTGAATAATAATAATTATTATAAATATTTTGATAAATAATACAGTAGAATCCACTTTCACTACCTGGCTGCTCCATTGTGAGCTTGGCTGAACCCATAATGAGTTTGCTAAAAGAGGTCCTCTTAATGCTCACAGGATGGAAAGAATTAAAAAAAAAAAAAAAGAGCAGAATCCACTTACTGTAATCATTTTTTGTATTCAATCATTTAAATTAATGTTGTCTGAATCACTTATAAAACTTCATTTAACCAGATCTTTGACTACAATATAGTTATCACTTTTAGATATTTTTAAGCTATCATGCAAAAAGATGGCTGAAAATCAACTTCAGCATTTACCAATAACACTCAATTATTGTCAGTCTTAACTAGTGTTTTAAATGTTAAATGTTTATTTTTTCATTGCTATTTACTCACAATATAGTACTATAAATTACTGGCATTTCTTAATTTATTATATGTTATCTGTTGTTAAAGACAATACTGTAAGAAATAGTAGGCAAACAACACTGAGAAAATTGTTATTAATTACTAATTTGTGCCCATTTGCTAGACACTTATGCAACTATTTATATTTAATAGAAAAAAATGTGTTAAAATTGTATTGATGCTATTCTTCCATTGTATTGATTGTACAGTATCAAAAAATTGTTTCGTACAATTTGCTTGGTACAAACACAACTTTTTAACCTTCTATGTGTTTTTATTAGAATCTTCTATTTTAATAAAGTTTACTTTCCAATCCCCCTAATAAATAATGTTGTTTTTTTTACATTAAATTCAAACAAATAAATTTTTAACTTGTTTTTATTTTTAATCAATGATGTAATAACCCTCATTATCAACAACCTTTTGCCATTTAGTGTGCAAATTTTCAATTCCAGATCAATAAAAATAAATTGGTTTTTGAGCAAAATATCTGGAGATGGCATTTTGAATATCATCCAAATTTTCAAATTTTTTTGTCACAGAAAATGTAGTGATTGGAATAAATGGAAATTCAATGGTGCAATGTTAGGCAAGGCAGTATATCCCACCCCAATTCATCAATTTTTTCCGGGGTTTGTCTTGCACAGTGTGGTCTTGCATTATCATGTTGCAGAATAATGCCTTTTCTGTTGACAATTGCTGGACACTTTTCAATTAAAGGCTGATTTACTCAATCCAATTGTTCACAGTAAAGGTCTGCATTCATAGTTTGTCCAGGTTTCAGCACTTCAAAATGAACAATTCTGCAAATACTTCACCAAACACATAAAAGTGCTTTTTTGAGATGTAAGCCTGCTTAGTAGTACTTTGTGGCGATTCATTCAGAGAGAGCCACTGCCTTTTGTGTTTTGGATTATCATAGAGGACCCATTTTTCATCTCCAGTGTTCATGCAATCAAAAAAAGCTTCTGTATTGTGCTGTTGAAGCAATATGTTGCATGTGGTGGATTGGTTAGCTTTGTTTTCTTTGATCAGATTATGTGGGACCCAAACACCTGCTCTGCATACTTTACCAATTTGCATGTTGGTTAAGAGTGTTTGACAGTTCCTTGATTGTCTGACATGCATTTGCTTCCACTTCTGCCCTTAACACGTCATTGTTTAAAGTTGTTGGCCTTCCTGATTGATTTGAGTCAGAAAGATCAAAATTACCAGATCTGAACTTAGAAAACCACCTTTGGCATTTACGAATGTCTAATGCATTTGGATAAACATCGCAAATGTTTTTGGTAGCAACTGTTGTGTTACTACCCTTGTGAAACTCAAAAAGTATACAATGTTGGATATGTACCTCTTCTGGTATTTGGCTGGCCATTTTACCCAAAACTGCAAAAAAAATAAAAAAATTTAAGATTTCATTATTTACAAGTAAACAAGTTACTTTAATGACATTACTTTATGATTCCCCTAATATTAACGGTAATTATGATAATATGTTAACTTTTATATTGTGTAAATTAATTGATATTACATAAATATTATAATCTATTTATGTTTAATCATCATTCTTATTATTCGAATCATTATGACAATTCCTTATATCAATAGTTAGTAAAAATTTGCTTACTCTCATAAATATAATTTTCTGCTATATCCATACTTTGTGTTAGGTTACTACATATAATCTGCAAAAATTTTCAATGACATCAAAAAATCACCTCAAGTCATTTTATGTTTTGTTACACTAAGAAGTCTTCTTGATATGATAAAATGTGAAAGGGTGTTGAGCTATAATTTCTATTACCATAATTCACTATATCATATGCCAGTTATAATAATAGATATATATTTTATTCTTAAAGTAATATAAAATAAGACTCACATCAACCATTAACCAGTGTGAATTACGATTAACTCTTTTAGGGAGGAGATGTCTTTCATTTGCATGACAGGGTTTACTTAACAATGATATTTAATGTTCATCTTATTTAAAGATGACAAGGGGAATGCATGTGCAAAAGTTCTTGTTACTCAAAATCTTCTCTTACTATTTGATTTTATGTTTGAATTTTAAGATCCAACTTGTTTTGAATTAAAAAAAACCTGAAGAGCCCAGAAGGAGTTACAAAAATATTTGTTATTCAAGAGTTAATGATTGATGTGAGTCTTATTTTATATTCATCCTGGTGTGCTGTGCAGTTATATCGTAAACTAATTTTACAATTTTTCATAGAAGTTAGAATCTTACGTATAACAGAAAAAGTATTTTCTGTTATACGTAAGATTCTAATCATACTTTATAACAGAAAATACTTCGAATCTTTTTTTTTTATGTATTAACACACCAAGGACTTTGTGTTTTTTCAGACCTTATCAAGTATTCTTCTATTCACATGAAGAAGGAAAAAAAAAGATTTTGTTCACACTTATGATTGCTTTATACAGTATAGCTCACCATCTCTGTTCCTTCTCTTAAGGGTAGCCTTCCTCCTCCAGTTAGAGCCATCATGCAAAAGGATTTTGGTTATTTTTCAGTTTTTCAATTAGCAGAATAATTGTTTGAATATGATCTGGAAATTGCAGCCTGATGTGAATCCTACTTATTCTCTTGATTGAATAGCAGCTAGGGATTAGTCNTGCATTAATATTTGAAGTTTATAATAATAAAAATTTTTTGACTTGAGTTAGAAATATTCAAATCAGTTTCATTCAAAAAATATAATTAATATGACTTCTAATTTCAATAACATTAAGTGACTTCTATGATTAATATACAGTGGTACCTCAGGATACGAATGCCCCAGCATACGAAATTTTCAGGGTACAACATGAATTTTGAACATAATTTTGCTCCACGATTCGAACAAAAACTCACCATACGACGTTACATTAGTTCACAGTGCCATTTTTTATTCAGTTCTGTTCATTGGTCTCAGTCCGCGTTTTTGCTTCGTCATGGAAGGATCTCACTCGATAAAGGAAATCTTGAGGTATTATCAGAAAATGACCAATTTTATTGAAAAGAAACATTCCGAAAAAGTTCACACTGGCCGTATTGCTGCTCTGAGTAATGACATTTGCCTAAGTCATTTTAGAAACATTTTAAAAACTAGGCAAAGCCAAACCTCTTTGGATAGATATTTTATCAAGCAACCTCTATCCAGTGAAGTGAAAGTGCTGGTTTGTTTTTTTTTTTTTTACTCTTTCTGCTCTGTGGGCACTAAGAGTGCCTCATTTTTGCAAGCCCATTATGGGTTCGGCCAGGCCACAATGGGGCTTCCGGGTGGTGAAGGACGGGGCCAGACATATGCAAACGGATCCCCCCCAAAAAATTCATGGGGATTTTTCGACCAGATTACGTTCAGATTCAAACCCGAGTCCCCCAGAGCGGTAGGCTGCCACCTTGACCACTCGGCCATCCACCCGCGTTAAGGTGCTGGTGGAAGTGAAGGAAATACGACAAAAAGAAATGAATAAAATATATATAAAACAGAAAAGTTAAAAAATTAGTGTTAAGTTATTTTTAAGTTACTATTACATTATGTTATGTAAGTTAAGTTTTAGTATCCTTTCCCTTCTCCCTCTCCTCCTCCACCAGTTTACACCTCACTGACATCTATCCTCAAAGGTAAAGTACAAATAAAACTACATTTTTTTAATCAATTATTATTCTATTATAGTTATTTATACATTTACAACTACAAAATGCACTTTTCAGTGTTTTCCTTACTAAAGTTATTTTTTTCAAGGTACTACTTAGCTTTAATTTGAGAGTGTTTTTCATGTTGGAATGAATTATTTGGTTTTACATGTTGTAAGGTGAATCATATGGGGAAAAATGATTCACCTTACAACATTTTCATGATACGATCTCAGTTTCAAAACGGATTAATTTCGTATCCTGAGGTACCACTGTATGTGGTTTTTGTTTTTATTTGATGATCATTTTCTATTTAACAGAATGAAATTTTGATTCAAAAAATACTTAGTCAACTTTGCTTTATCTTGTGTGTTGTGATGTTAATTACTAAAAATGTTTATCAGAATTATAAAATTATTTATTGATATTAAATTAATATAAATTACTTTACATAGTTTTAAAATAAGTAACAACAATATAACATGACATTAAAAATTATTTACAGGTTACGCAATTTGTCTCATGGTAATAGTGTTATGTCACCACCATCATCTCCAGCATGTACTAAATACAAACTGGCAGAACATCGTTATGGGAGAGAAGAAATGTTAGCTCTGTTTAATAAAGATGCCAAAATGCCAGATTTATCAGAATTTCCTTTTTTAGCTGTGGAGAAGTGTCAGTTACCTTTAGCTTATGTTCCAATGACTGAAGAAGAGCAGGTTAGTTGAAAATATTAGTTTATAATAATGATTATATTTAGGCATGAGTAAATATTGCCATAACATACAATTTAAATACATATTTAATAAAATTTTTTATAATAAAAAATTATTTATTTTATAGCGGCCTTGGTCAAGATGTGTAAACAGTGATATAGTGTTGCGTTTAACTGGAAAAGGTGGTGGTGGTGGAAATTCTGGTATTTCAAGAGGGGGTGGTCGTGGAGGATCTGTAGATAGAGGAAGAGGTAGAGGTAAGTGAAATTAAGAAATTAATAAAATTAATTAAATATAATATGTAATTATAATATGTAATTTCTCATTTTCTTGTAATGAATTTNAATAGTAACCATATACTTAATATATCATATTTCCTCATCTAAGATAACTTTTTATTTCATTTTGCTTATCTGAAATAGAGATGCATTTACAGTTCAAAATGATTCAATTTTATTAATGATTCAATAATGATTTAATTCATCAAAAGTGATTCAAGTACACTGCATACACTAACAATGCATCAGTAATAGACATCCTCAGTTGTACTGCTTAATGATCACATTAGTTGAAATGAATGTTACTATTAAGGAGCATTAAACTTAAATTTATTTTTAATGTTTAAAATACTTATTTCAAGGTGACATTATTCATGGTATATGTATTGTTTTCTTTCTAATTTATTACTGCTTAACATGTTGAGTGCCATGTGAAATCCTGTAATCAATACTGAGAGGGTTACGGTTATATTTTTAACCTTTTTCATTCAAATTGGTCAATCTCTTTTGTACAACTCTCATACCCTTATACAACTTTCATTGTTTGTCTTTTTAGAGTCGTATAACTGAGAAGTCACCGTAGTTAATAAAAATTGTTAAAAAAATCATGTTAATGATTAATAACTTTATAAAATATAGTTTTTCAATTTCATTGATTTCACATTGGTTGCTTGTTCATAAATTGTTAATAAAATAATTGTTTTTGTTTAATTTTTTTAGTTGAATTTAATTAATATACTGTAGAAGATTTTATTTATCATATTATATGTTTTAAGAAATAAAATTTCAAAACATTACTTTTAGGACGTGGCAGTTACTATCCAAGAGGTTTATCCTTTGAAGATGAAGATGGCCCATTTGCAAGACCAAGGCCAATGGAGCGCAGCCAGAGCATGAGTGAGAGAGATCAGCGTTGGGAAGATCGGTAAAACTTAAAATTGAAACTACTTTAAGCTTATTATTTAATAATTAGCCTTTAGAGCAAAATTTTGAAATATTAAAAAGTAATAAACTTTTACTTATGTATGCAATAAGTATTTTTATTTAGTCTTTTTTGTAATTGGGATTTAAAGGTTTATTTTCTGATTATTTTTTTCTTTTAACAGTATTATATTATTAAATTTTAACATACATCATTTTCAGAGAGAGAAGATTTGATAGACCTTATACAGGTAATAACATTTTTAAGGAATAAAATTTAATTTTTTATTTGTTACCAAATGATAAAATTAGAATATTTAATCTGATATTCTTTTGTATATTTTGATCTAATTGTAGGAAGAGGAAGCAGTGGAATTGACGATAATAGTAATGCTCCAAGAAAGGAAGGTTCTAGGGTTCCCCTAGATAATTGGAGGAGACCTCGAGGTCAAGGGGAAGAAGGAGGGTGGAGGACTGCTGGATCTCGAGGACCAGAAAAATGGAGTATGTAGAATTTAATCTTTTGGGAGGAAATAAATTATCACCAAATCATTAAAAGCAAATTTTTTTAACTTAAAATAATTTCATATAATTATTGAAAGTCATTTTGGTAATTTTAATCTATAATTATTTTACCTGTTTTTGCCAAATTAGAACATTTTTTTATTTGTATAGTAGAAAAATTTACAGAAATGACTTAAAATTAGTCTTTTAATTATTATTTATTTTTGTTATATTTTTTAGATTAAATTTCAAAAAATTGAATACTTTAATATTTTTTGAATATGACTTAATGACGGTCAAAAACAATTTTTACTTAAGCTGATTTTAAATGATAAAACAAATTTTAATATTTTATGATCAAAAGTTTAACTAGTTAGAAATATTTTAATATCTGCATAAAGTAGTAATCAGCATTTATTTAAAAAATAAAATACTGTGTTATTAATAGTATAAGGAATTTACATACAAAAAACCACAAAGAATAAATTTCCAGAATTGTAGCAAAGAAACTTAGTATGTTAATGAATCAGTAAAAAAGTTAATACTGATCAGGAAAAGTATATTGGGAATTGTATATATTCTGTATAGGACACTTTAAATTTAGTTGGTGTTTGCAATTTGTTATATAAGGTCTGTCCCAAAAGTAAGTGTACTGATTTTTCATTTAGTGATTGTGCTGCTTAACACATCATTAATTGGTATTTTCACATTGCTAGATATCTTAGCAGCATGTCTAGACTTGTTTCAAGTTGATTGATTAAGTCAAATGTGCACAATCTCTTTGTGTTAGTTAGTTAGTATTTTAACACATCATTACATTTGAAATGGAGAAAAATCTCAAACATTATGCTATCAAGTTTTGTGTGAAACTCAAGAGATATGCAACCAAGACATTTGCAGATTTAACCAAAGCTTATGGAGATGACACTTTAACAAGAAACATGGTGTTTAGATGGCACAAAGATCCAGGGTAAAGACAATGCTTATCATTTTTTTTATAGCCGTGGAATTGTGCACAAAGAATTTTTATTTTCAGACAGACAGTTAATCAGGCCTTCTACAAAGATGTCTTGGAATGACTTTGAAAACAGGTCAAGCAAGTCTGCAGGGACATTGCAGAAGTTTGGGTGCTGCACCAGGATAATGTGCCTGTTCACACAGCACTATCAATTCAAGAGTTTTTGGCCAAGTAAAAATCCCCACATTCCCACAACCTCCCTACAGTTGAAAGGTCATCATTTCAGGACAGTGGAAAACATCAAAAAAGTTACAACCAACAAACTAAACACTCTTATGGAAAATGACTTCAAATACTGCTACGACCAGTGGAAAAAACTTTGGAACCACTTTGTGACCTTGCACAGGTCATACTTTGAAGAAGATCATTTGTAGTTTGATGTAACACTTGTATACTTTGAAATAAAAATCGGTACACTTACTTTTGGGATAGACCTCATAGAACTTATTTTTAAAGAACTTTTTAAATGATAAAGATATTTTACAAATGTAAGTAGCATCTATTAATGTGCTGAAACCAAACTAATAAAGAATCATATTCATTAAATAATAATTTTTAAATTTATTCACTTTTACAACAGATGAATAAACTAAGGAAAAAGTTGTTTCCCTATTGTCTAGATCTGTGATTTCCAACCTTTTCCAGTCATATAAAAAAAGCTTTCATAAAAATATTAACTTTTGTGACTCTCGTTAATTATTGAATCACTGTTGAAAATAAAACTTTAAACAAGTGTTTTATTATTATTGATGTTTAATTATTAACTTGTTTTGTGAAACTTATTTTAATAATCCAGGTGCAAGGTTAATAAATATAAAAGAATTGAATTAAAATAACTGAACTCAGACATTCATAAATGTATAAAACATTGTAAAATATATAAAAAAGTTAAAGTTAATAGCTTTTTAGGACTCAAGTGTGGAATATTTTGAATTGCCTAGGTATAAATTGAAAAAATTGCTGATTTAAAATTACATTTGTAACCATTACAGATTTTCTTTTCATATATCCCTAAAGGTACTTATACTTAAGTTGAGAAATACTGATTTAGACTCTATTAATATTTTTCTCTGCAAGTAATCTGCAATAACACTTTGCATCAAATTATTTTTCTTGTTCACACTTCATGTGTAAGATTATACAACTGAAAATTAATGAAAGTTTTCATTATAGTATACACCCAAAAATCATATTGTAATTGTATTCAGATAGGTTTTAAACAACTAAATGTAACAAAAGAAATCAAAAATTATTGGATTATCATAATGCATAACTGATGATTTGTATTTAATTGTACATATTTTATAATTTAAATTGACTAGTATGTATTATCATTATCACTTTTTATGAAACCATTTCAAAAAATTTTTTGATGTCTTTCTCTTGATGAATCATTTGACTGTTTCCATATTGAAAAATTTTAATTAATTTTTGTTTTTACACTGTGGAGTCTATATTATCAACAAAAATTTTTCTATCTGCTAATGTGTTAGGTGCATTTTTTTTCTTTTGTCATGAAAATATAAAGTGATTAAACTGTAACTTTACAGTGCTTACAATTTAGAAATCAAAGAATTGTTGGGTTTTAACTCTAATGTAGTTAGTTAGTAATGACCCATATTGGCAAAACTGAATGGTTAGGACACAAAGTTAAAGTTGTAATGTAGCATTTCAATTTTTGTGGGCCAAAAAGATGTATGAAGACAATATCATGTCCTCTCACAGTATCACAGAATGATGTTGGAGATTTGAAAGTAAACAAGATAATTGATGAAAACTAGGGACATCAAAGTTGCATGAAAACAGAAGTTAAGGCTGCAAGAATTGATGAATTGATCCAGGACAAAATCCAAATCATTTTATGACAAATTGTTGTTCTGCTTGGTCTGAGTTAATTTTAATAGATAGTCTTTGATTATTTATCTGTTTATGTTTACATCTCCAAAGAACATTATACTTTTTTAAAAAATTATACAAGCACTTATGCGAAAACAATAAACAATCATTAATTCACAGTCTATATGAGTCTTGCAAAAATAAATGTTAACATATGGTTTATATGTTCACAAATTGAAAAAAAATTGCTAATTTAAAATTAATTTCATAATCATTACAGATTTTCTTTTCATATATCAATAAAGGTACTTAAGTTGAGAAATACTGATCCAATAATAATTTTTGTATTAATTTTGGAGGGGAGCCAAATGACTTAATACATTAACATTTTGGAATCTACACTATTCATTCAATTTGTCCACTAGTCAAGGCATCAGCTAACTAATAATTTTACCATTATAGCTAATTTATGACATTTTTTTTTTGTTTTAATCACTATTTCCTAAGCCAATGTTAAACATCTACTACTATGAAGTTTTTGGGTGCTTCAAACTCATGTTGACCATCTTTTTGAAGTTTCTCCTTCATTCTACAGAAATCTTCTCTTCCAGGAGTTGGAATTATGAATCCAGAAACAAGAAAATTATAAGTTATTCTTTTTTAAGCTAGACTTTGTTTTGTGTTTTAAATTGAATGCTCTGATTCTAATCTATTTATTTCAAAAATTTGTTACATTTCTCATAGTTTCTTCCAAAATTGTTTGATTCAGTGGATAATTAGAGCAAAGTCACTGACATACATTATCATATATATCACATCAGACTGCATTTGCTTCAAAACATTTGATGGTAGATTCTTCATTCTTGCATACAATCAAAAATTTGGTCCTTCTGTTGTTCATGCTTTTCCATGCTAGAAGGAACACATGTGCAAACAAACACCTTTTTGCTATTGGTGAAGAAATGAAATTCATTGTCACTGGGTGACTGCAAGAACAGTAATTTTTTGAGAATGGGATGAACAAGTTTATTATACATTGTGATAAATGCCTGAATAGCTATGTGATTCTGTTAAAGAAATATTTGTCTTTGTATTCACGTTAAATTACTTTTTTGATTACCTTAAGTGCACTGTGTACAAGACAATTCACTTCTGGATATCTATCTTAATCACCAATATCTTAATGTAATATTAGATCTGTTAATTAAGTATAATAAATTAATAGGGTTGAATTATATGTTTTGATATATAATAATTAAAGAAAGTTGAAACTGTAACTGACAATACATTTGTATATATAAATATTAATAGGTAGGGGGTCATGGAGAAATCAAATGGATAAAGAGAAGAATGGGGAAGATTTGGATAGAGGCACTCATATAAACAATCATGATGATTGTTTGCCTAATGGCCCAAATAAATCCAGTAGCCATCATTCAAATAAGAAATCACTTTGTGGATGGGATGATGAGGGAGATGGTGCAGGTAAAATTTGTTTTCCAAACAGTAATTAATAATTTGTAAATAAAATTTATTGTTTGTGTGTGTGTGTGTCCATTTTACTTTTTAAAAAATTAACTTTTACTTTCCCAGCTGTTATACAGGGTGTATCAGAATGATGTTTTAAAAATTTGGGGGATTGTAGAGGATGAACTTTTGAACGTTTTGATATAAGGAACCCATAGCCAGAAATGTGATATAAAGTTTCTACAGCACTTTGCATGTTCTATGCAGTTAGTATGCTGAATGCAACAGCAGAATACAGTATTTATGACAAGTTTTATTGACAAAACAGAGTAGAAACAGAGACAAAAGAGTACAATCAAACTGTACATCGAATCAATGGCTACATTAGAGTAAATGTTCAATGTGACGACCACCAACTTCATTACATAATGTGCAATGACAAACCATGTTTTGTCTGATTCTCTGTAAGATGCCACGCTCCCCTCTGATTGTATTAAATGCTATAAAGATGCGCTCCATAAGCTCATGAACTGTTTCTACAGGTGTTGCGTACACAAGGGACTTTACATAACCTCAGAGGAAGAAGTCAAGAACAATAACATGACATCAATGGACGGAAGGGTAGCTACCAAAGTGAAGGGCGGTCAAGCACTTCTTACCACTGTAGAAACTTCATATCACATTTTCGGCTATTGGTTCCTTATATCAAAATGTTCAAAATTTCATCCCCAAATTTTTAAAATGTTATTCTGATATACCCTGTATATACATAGCAAAGAAAAATATTGGAATCATGTCAGATTTTACCTTCTAAGTATTTTTTTTTGCAAATCTCCGTGTTTCAAGACCTCCTGAATCCAAAAAAGTAACAAAACTAAATGGCAAAACAATTCCATGGATGTGTTTGTGTTGGCAGCTATTTTGCTTAATGTCTCAGGATTGTGTAAAGATTAAGTAATGAAATTTGACATGGTGGCTTGTATACAAAGGGCATTGATTCTGTTAAATTTTGGTGATGAAAGGTCAAGAGGATGGGGAAATAGAGATGGGTCTTATATCTCAACAGGAGTAAGACTTAATGAAGATTTTATTTGTTTTTTAACATTTACACTTTTTTATCCTCAAAATTAAGCTTTTTACTATTTCAAAGTAATTAAAAATATAAACATTTTTATATTAAATCTGATAACAGATGGCACCACACAGAATTTTATTGTTTGTTTAATAATATAAAAGGTTTTTAAATAAAAATTTATAACAATTCTCATTGCTAGATTTTTTAAGCATTAAGTGCAATATAGATTATCTGAGATACACTATATATATTAAACATTAACATGAAGTCATTTATTATACTATTCAATCCTATTAATATACAACAGTAGATGCCCCAATCATGATATGCCAGTAGTACTCTGGACTGAGTAGGATGTTTGATTAAAGTGGCTAATTTTTATTTAAGTTTAAAAATGCAGACAAATGTGCAACAGTGTAACATAACAGAAAATTATATAATTCAAAGCTTTTCATTTGGAGTAAGAGTTTTCCTAGTTAGTATTATCAACATAAAAAATACTAAAATGCTTTAATGGAGCATCAATGCTATGGAAACATCAGTGTTTCAGAAACAGTTAACATTTCTGCTATACTTGGTTTAAAGTTAGAAACATTTTGACATACTTGTTTTTAAGTGTGATAAAATTTTTCTAACTTTAAACTATCAGAATGCCACATTTCTGGAACTTTGCTAGTTTCCATAATAATGGGGGGTCATTTCCAAAAATCTATCTGAAGATGAAGTATTGAGTTCATAAGTGCTTGAAATGGCTTTCTGTGCATTTATTTAATAGCTTTTAATGCTTTTTATGTTTATATTTTGTGGCATTTCCAAGTACTATCAATCTGAAGAATGCACACAAATGTAGATTAATGTGTAAAAGTGCATTATAAAATTAGGATAGTTTTTAAATAAAATTGGTGTGCATGCTGTGGAAATGATTTCAAGAAACAGGAATCATTACCATAAGAGCATGCAGAGATTGACCAAAATTAACCTCACAAAGATCGTCAACAGGCTTTCACTGCCATGTCATAGAGAGATAACAGCCAGATAGCTATCTCATGAGCTTGCAACCAGTGAAACATTGATATTGATGCAAACTGTGTATAGATGAGAAGCTTTATGTAGATGACCCTAAGTCTTTCTCTCCTTGACTCTTCCCTTAAGAAAGTCCATCTTTCCTGCTACTATGAACATCATCTCTGAATACAGAACCAATGAGCCTTTGTTATGTTCTCATTCAGATATATGTTAGATATACTAATGAGTTTTCCAAAAACAATTGCCCCTAACATGGGGTGGCCAACAGTTTTTGCCTCCGAGCCGAACCAGAGGCTGCCCTAGCAAGATTTTGAGGTGGTGAGATCTGATTGTGGTGTCACCCTGTAGAGACTAAATTGTACATAGAGATTACAGATACATTTTTCACATTATTATGCATTATCAACACTCTGTGTTGGGCTGAAGACATTTGTAATGGAGCGTTAATTCTAAATGCACAGTTAGTTGTTGACTTTTTTTAGGCGTCAAAATTTTTTGCTGTGATATTTGGACAAGTAGCTAATATTGAGATATTAATCGCAGGTCGCATAAATTCATTACACAGGCCATATGTTGGCCATGCCTGCCCTAACACAATCTGGAGAGCATGTAGGATATGCTATCAACCCTCAAACATCAGGGAAATTTACCTCTATGATGGACATGGTGTCCTAATCTGGGGAGGTATCATGATGGATGGCTACACACACTTCTTTACATTTTCAAGAGAGAAACTTTGACTGCTCAACACTATAGAGATGACTTTTTAGGGGATTCCATTGGTCCCAGTTGCAATTTTATGGATGACAATGCTAAGTCAGAGCTCATCTGGTTATGGATTTCTTTGAAGATGATGATATTTGCAGAATGAAGTGGTCTCTGCACCTAAACTTGATTGATCATATCTGGGATAATCTGGAAAGGGCTATTGCATCATGTCAGCCACCTCTCAGGATCCAACATGATCTAAAAACTGGGTTTATTACCACAAAGCCTTCTCCAGAACCTTATAAACAGCACGAATTCCCTATTGTGGGTGTTGTATGGCTGTTGGGGATGGCACACACACTATTATCTGCTACCTCATGTTTTAGGTATTAGGCACAGTACTTCATGATGTGAGATGTGTGTGTACAAAATTTCATCTTTAATTCACAAATACTTTTCTAGACAACCTACAATTTGTGTTTGTTGTCTTAAATCTGAACACCAATATAGATATGGTCATGGCTTACATTCAAACATTTCTTGTAGCAAAATAAAAATTAGTTTTACTGTTTAAATATCAAAATTTGTGTCAATCATGGATAAGTTAGATATACAAGTGAGTTTTCCAAAAAGACCTTAACACAATTTCAAAATATTGTATTTCAAAAAATATAAAAATTTCACAAATATACAATTTTATATATATATCAATATATATTACTGATATTTTTATATTTTTTAAAACGTAAATACCATTGCCCAAATTTTAATTTCTACTTCAGAAAAGTTGTAGTTATGGTCCTTTTTTTTTCTTAGCACAGGAGTGTGGATGGCATGCACAAATTTAATTTAATTCTGAATTTTTACCTGTAGTGTTTGTTTATGCCAAATATATCTGAAGTGTAATAAATACATTATATGTAAAAATTATTTGTTTTTGTATAAATTTCAAACTTTTCAATAGGTGATCAATTACCAGAATGGAGCACGGAAGATGATGTTGATGCAGATAGAGTTGGAACATTTGATGCCTCTGGTGCCTTCATGGAAAACAAAGTAAAGATTTTTGATTCTCTCTTATCTACTGTTATTTTTGCTCTTGTTGTTGTTATTAATTAATTATAAATTTAGAATTAATATTTTAGTTTTTACATAAACTACATCAAAAAACCAATAGAAATAGTAAAAAAACTCACATTAGTGAACGTTTAGTTTTTAAATTTCATAAACACAGTTGTTTTATGTATTTATGAAATAATGTAGCAGACTATGTGAGTGCAATATCACTGTCACAGAACTGACAATAAGTATGGAGTATTTATAAAGATAATTCATAAATATCAGCAGTTTAATTTGTTTTTGTGTGTACCTCAAAAAAAGAAGTACATACAGGTAAAGGAATGTAATTTCTTTTATAAAATGTAAAATCTTTTGTTGTGTTTTTATTGTGTTGTAGGAAAGTTTATTAGGAGATTTTACATTTTATAAAGCAAGTGTATGTCAAAACTGTTAAGTGGCAATTATTTTTTTTTAATTCTTTGATAATTTGAATTGTAATTTATTTATGTTTAATATGTCTTTCACACATATCAAAGCATTTCTGCTTTTTGTAAACCAATAAATCTCTGGCACTTTTATTTTAAAATTATGAAATCAAAAATATTAACTGAACTTTTAAATTGATTATTAACTGTAGAAAGCTTTTTAGTCAATCTTATGTAAATTAGCAAATTTATATAAAACCAAGTAACAGATTTGTTCATATTTTGTTTTACACATGCCAACTAGTAATCTGAAAGAAGATTGAAACTACATCTTTCACATTTCAGGGACCAAGACAACAGTTATTTATGTTTGAATTTTTTTTGAAGTAAAGATCAATTTTATTTTTTAATAAAATTTATTAAACTTTTTTCAATAATGGCTAGCAGTTAGAAATGAAGAAAGGTGGTTGTAATAGTTTTCTTACTAAAAATAATTTTCAAATAGTAATTTACAAGATTATGTAAATAAATGTAATATTGTAATGTGACTTAACAAAAATATTCTATTCAGTTTAATTCATTTAATATTATGGCTACAGGCATTTTTTAAATATCAGAAATACAAATAGAAAAACAGTGCAGTACAAAAAAGCAAAACAGATACATGACAAAAACACAGTGTTTAAATCAGATGGCAAGTTATTGTAACAGTTAAATAGTATATCAAATACTGTATGCTCATGGTGTCCTGTTAATGTAATAATTAATTTTGCACTAACATATTGCATTGTATGTCTTTTCACATAAGATTTATATAGAATTTTAATATTTACTGTGTCATTTCAACACAAATTACTTAATAAATTTACAGTGTTAATCGGTGAAAACAAATCAGTTTAAAAGAAACAAAAACATGCTTTAATGGAGTTAAAACTAATATGAAAAAAATAGGATAATAATACAGTGGAACGTCTATATTTATAATATTCGATATTCTTCACATTTTGATGACTTTTTTATTTTTCTGTATTCGTTTCATTCCCAACACCAGAAGTGGCACTACAATCACACACCTGCATTGATCAGCTAGCCGTGTTAGCTAGCTGTAGTTAATCAGTCTGCTTTGTGCAGTCATCATGTGTGTTGTTGAGCTTATTGAAAAATAATCAATGCAAGAAACCAAATTCCAATCGCACCAAAGTGGCACCCAAATGTTGCTATAGTCAAGCAAAATACAAATGCATTCAATGATAATGTAATTGCCTACTTCATACATTTTAAAAAGCAGACAAAACACACAAAACTGGACAAGTTCTTTATTAAATCGAATTTAATAAAGAACTCCACGTCCTCAAAGAACATTTTTAGAGCTACTGAATCATCGACATAACAGACCCCATGATCATACTTGGAATTGCCTAATGTTTTAATTGATATGTCTTTTTCTAAACCAAGGGTCGCCAAACTTTTTGATCATCGATCCCCTACAAGTTTTTGAAACCTCACATCGACCCCACCAAAAAGTTTGTGTTACAAGCAAAGCAAAGTACTTACTATTTTAATGCATTTCTTTTAATTTTGCATTTTTGTCATTTATTGTATATTTGTTAATAATTTTTGTAACTGACAATCAGTGAGATAGATAAGCTTGATCATTAGCTCCCCCTTATCCTTAACTTAAGCTTGATACTCGACCCCCCCAGTAATGTTATATTGGCCCCTGTTCTAAACAATAATACTATTTATCAATTTGAAACTGTGTCGTGTTCTGTTTCTGTTGTTTATCCAATACAATGTAGTGCAACTTAACAATCACTTGGCTTTCTTTTACCTTTATTCTAGTTGATACACACTTACATCTCTCATTTTGGGCTAAATATGCCCTTCCTCAGTCAACTAAAATTATTAAAAGAATAAAAAATCTTTTTAACATACAATACTTTAAAAACCTCATACATTGTTTAAAAAGGATATAGACAAATTAGAGTTAACTCATCAGCATACCTGGATATTACTGGTTCGGCAATCTGAACAAGGTACATACAACACGCACTTGACCTGCATACGTATTCTGGCATGTTTGTTTTGACAAATATATCATTATTTGTGTTGTTAACTATTACATTATATTATTTCACATATTTGCTATTAACATATTTTGATTAGTTCATTTTTTATCTTACATGGTTAAATCACGATAAGGAGTACACAGTTAATATGATATTCCATTTTGACTAAAATTTCAATTTTATATTGAGTTACAGTTATACAAAATTTAATTAATATAAATATTTTTGTGTGATGACATATCTGCTATAAACTTGTATTCCTTTTTTATTCACGATAATCCAAAAGACACAGGAAAAAAACTTGTATTCTACTAGTAAATTATAATTTTTGGGGTTAAATTTTACTTGGATAATATTGGTTGTAGTTAAACAATCTTCAAACTGTTAAAGTTATTTCTTCATTTCTGATCCGGTTTTGTCCTCTTTCTACGTCACATCACCATAGTGCTCATTAGCATATTCTGTCTGTAATGCCACACTCAGTGTGTTTTTACTTCCTTTTTTTGTAAGAATTTTATTAACTGTTTGTTTCATCCAATTTTTTTTTCCAGTTATTTATTTCATCCTCATTTAAATAAAGCATAGTCAGATTTATATTGTTTTGTAGTTATAAACTTATATTTGATAAGCAGGTTGAAATAGGTATAAGACAAAGTTTAGTGTTATCAATTTTGTTAGAAAAAATAATTATTATGCTATATATACAGGGTGGGCCAATGAAAACGAAATGGCAGAGTTATCGTGTTCATTCAAGCAAATTGCTCGGACAGGTCAATTTTATTCTCAAGGGTTTGCAATTCTGAATACAACAGACAACAAAAAATTTTAAAAACTCATTCATTTTTTTCTTAACTAAACAAACATTTATTTCGGGAAAAAAGTAACAAACTATTAACAAACATAAAAAAATCCCTTTAAGTTGGACCGCATACGCAAGGAAAAAATATTTTTTCCTTGCATATGTGGTCCAGCTTAAAAAGTTTTTTTTATGTTTGTTAATAGTTTGTGCTACTTTTTTCCGAAATAAGTGTTTGTTCAGTTAATAAAAAATGAATAATTTTTAAAATTTTTTGTTGTCTGTTGTATTCGGAATCGCAAAAACTTTATTGCTGAAGATGTCCCCCTTGAGAATAAAATCAACCTGTCTGAGCGATTTTCCCCTTTCCTATCTCGCTTTACTTTTTCCCCTTCGCCTCTTCCCTTAATTACCTTTCTTCTACTCTTCCTCACACTCGGGCATTCATTCATTCATTCATTCATTAGTTTAATTGTACATTTAAAACAAGGTACAAAGTCCTGTTTCGCAATGAGCATTACAGGAGCATATCCGTTACATAGTTCCACCGAGTTACAGTATGCACTAATGAACAAAGCAAAGTGAAAAGAAAAATTAAAAAAAATAAATAAATAAAAACACAATGACAATAAAAGACCTGAAAAATATGCATCAGCTTGCTGCAGCATATAACAGATTACTTATCTGCAGGAATATTTTTGCAAAAGAAGGTCGCAGTAAATACAATAATTCTGACAAAGTGTTTAACAGAATTTATCCCGTGCAGAAAATTTGTAAGACAAAGATTTGAGAATCCCATGAGTCCATATATAATATGCGTACAAGTAAAAAAAAAAAAACAAAGTCCACACAGCTAGTAATTGTAAGTATCAATTCCAACACTTTAAACCCAAAAACAGAGAAAGATGATGAAGCTTACATATTTCTTACAGTCAGCAAACACAAATGTATATAGAGAAGTGATGATCTGCTTGTATTAGTTGTTGTGCTAAGGAGCAGAGGTAGCACTATGAATTAAACAATTTGTGTCCTGTAAAGGATTCCATAATTATTAAGGTAAGTAGTCAGCTGTCTTAATATATAAGGCTTTTGCTTTAATGTAGAGTGGACACTCCTTATCCAGTGTGTTATGTTCATGTTTATCTAGGCCACTCCTCAAACAATTAGCACATTTAGGCTTTTCACTTTTCTTTGTACATGTCTTAAACAAATGATCATCACCACAATGGCTACAAACTTTCTTCGGTGATGGGCAACTTGCTGCCAAATGTCCAAAAGCAAGACATTTGTAGCACTTTGTACAGGGAAAAAATCATAAACATTGCACGTTTTCCACTGAACATAAAGATATCCTTGTTTTTTAGTCATTGCCCTAACCTCCAGTGACATCTCTAATACCCACGATAAAAACTAATTTCTTTGTTTGATTGAAAATCGAATGTTTAAAACCTTTTTAAACTCCTCCATCGTGTACTTCTGTGAAAAAATATTCTGTTCAAGCAGGTATTCTAGTAGGTCCTCTTTGGTAATTGAGTTGGGGACTGAAGTCACTTTCATAAGAGGAAGACGCCGTCTTGCGTTTCGTTGCCTTTAATCCTTCTATTTTGTCTAATTGTTCCTGAAAGTATTCAGCCTCCTCTCTGATAGAAAAATCAACAGCAATTCTACCCTTGTTAATCTTACGAATACGCTTGACAGGCACCTTATGCAATCTTTGATCAAAAGAATTAGTGAGCAGTGTCTTAGTCTCTTCCGATGTGCTCTCTTTATTATCATTGTAAACTAGAACAGTGTATGTTGGTAACAAGGACTCCTTTTCAGACTGTGTATTCTTCAAAGAATTAAGATTGCATTGTAAAATATCTCTATATGTCAGAGCAGTAGTCCCTCGAGAACCTTCCACCCCTAAAAGTGGAGGTTTTTCTAAGTCACAAATAGTCACACTCAGGCAATACCAATGAGTAGTCCTGAGTCTTCATCCCCTTTATGAAATTGAAATTGTCTGAGCGATTTCCTTGGACGAACTTGATAACTCTGCCGTTTCATTTTTGTTGGCCCACCCTGTATAAAAAAATTTGATTAAATTTGCTCTACTGATAAAGATGAACTATTTAAAAGATTTTTATTTGATAAGATTATCACAGTTGTATAATATACTCAATATAATTCTTTCATATAATTTAAATATACTCTTTGAATACTGATAATTTAATATATATATGGTATATTAGGGTCATGAAAACTGTTCTGAAGATTATGACAGTGCTCAAGATGACTCTGGGGGAGAAGAAGAATCTTCAGTAAGAATTTTTTTCTTCAATATCTTGTGTTCAAGATAAGTTATACTTACTGTTAATTAAGAATTAAAATTATCATTAAAAAATAACAAATGTTTTTGGAAGATTTTAAACTTTTTGTTTTGTTTGACAGAATCAAGATAGTGTTAAACTAACAACAAAGTCCATCAGGCCTTCTGATGAGAAGTCAAAAGTAGAAACAAACTGTGTTCAATCATTAGATAAATGTAAGACAGAAATATCAAAAGATCTTGAACATAAAGAAATAAAAATTGTGAATAGTGATCAGTCATTTGTAGATAGTGCAAAAGATCTTAATTTGATTAATGAAAATAAACTTAGTCCTAAAAATGAGCGGACATGTACAATTGAATCAAATTCTGTTGGTGCTATTTTAACAAATATAACTAAACAGATGCATCCTGCACTTCAGAGACCTCCAGTGAATTGTTCTCCAAATCATAACTTTCATGAAATAAAAGAAAGTAATCATTCATCATCATTAGTTTCAGTACCATCACAACCAACAGAAGAAGATAATTTTGCTCATTTGGAAAAGGCAACGGAAAACATGGTTGCAGAGTGGACAGCTGAGGTAGGATTCATTGAAGTTATTAGCCAATTTTTCTTGAACTTAAAATATTATTTAAAATTAATAAAGATGAGACATTTCTGTTAATCTTTTTCTAAATTTAATTTGATTATTATTATTTAATAATGAAAATTAAAATTTTCTAAAGATATCATTGGTAATTTCATAATTTTCAAAAATAAATTCTAGCAAGTAGCACTTCATTTTAATTGTATATATTAAAATAAAATTTCTATAAAATAACTTTTAGAAAACTTAGATATTACAAATATACAGTCCTCTTATCTGAAACACTGGAACTAGACATTTTTGAATTTGAAGCTTTTTGGATTTTGAGATGCTAGTCAGGAATTTATAGAAATTATTGCACAGTTTTTCAGTATTTCAATATTACTGAATATTTTGTATTTTGTTTAATGAGATAAAGATAGAACATAAAAATACTAACCCACTTATTAGATATTAATACATACTAGTTATTGTTACATGTGTTCAAGAACTACCATAAATCAATATTTAGTGACGTTAAACAATACACAGCCTACCGGCAGCTCCCCTCCGGGAGGAATCCATTGAAAGCACAAACAGTTGTGACCGCTGCCAAATTCGGTACTAAACGCAACATGCACACGCAACTCAGATGTGGGTGCTGATTGGCTAATGTATTTTGGATGATCACTCTTCAACGCATTATTATCACTTTGCTTGACTAGATGATAGCAGTATTCATAATGACCAGTCAATTTGATAAATTATTGAAATTTATTACAATGCACAATTTTGTTGGTCATTATTCATAATGACTGGGCATTATGAATAATGCCCATATTAATCACTTTGTCCATAACATATATAATGTGTTTTGTTTTTTATTTGAATTATTTTTGTAAAAAATTTTTTAAACTAATCCATTGTTATGCTTTCTTCTAGTTTAAATTAAATCAAGTGGAGAATAGTTCTATCTATTTGAATGTAACTATCACATTAATTCTTTAATATCAATTTTACATTTTGCTTCTATATTTACATTTCTATTTAAAAGCACTTGTTTTTACTTTCCCAGCTGAAGGGAAAGTATTGGAATCATGTCAAATTTGACCCTCTGATTTTTTTGCAAATCTCTACATTTTGAGACCACCTGAATCCAAACTTGGTAAAAAAAATTCTGTGAATGTGTGTGTTTTGGTGTCTGTTTTGCTTAATATCTCAGTATAAGGGACATTGATGCTATTTAATTTTGGTAGTGAAAGGTTGAGGGGATAAAGGGGGTTCTGTTTATCTTCAGTAGGATCAGACTTTATACTTTTTTTTTTTATATAAAACTCATCCCTACCCTCAAAATTAAGCTTTTTGTCAATTTATAGTAATTAAAAATATAAAAAGATATAACAAAATCTCATAACAGCCATACACAATTTTATTAAGTTATATTGTAATTAAAATTATAAATACAGGTAATCCCCATATAACATGGGAGTTACGTTCCAATAAATTGCCATGTTATGCAAATCCGTGTTATATAAAACAAAGAACTAGTGCGGAAAGGAGGGTTAGGTTCCAAAAATTAAAAAACATGTTGTTAAACATTACTGTATATGTTAAACATTTATTATTCATTTTTTTCATAGGTAAAATATTTATTTATTATTTAAGCAAATATTTTACCNAGATATACAGTAATTAAATAAAAATTTATTGATATAATTATTTGTCTCCAATCTTTCTCCCCCCAGGAAAATTTTCTGCAAATGCACATGATTATGTATTTTGAAACCATACACTCTCAAATGAAAACTAAGAATGATATAGAAATTTTAATAACATTTACATGTGATAAAAATGGTATTTACTAATGTAATCAAGGAAAAATTTTTTGAACCTTTAGCCTTCAGACTAATCAAACTCCTAGAATGTTGATTAGTTTGGTGTCTAAACTAATATCACTAATATAGCAAGAGGAACCATGGAAGAAGCTACAAAATACGAAGATTTGCAGATAGAAATCTCAAAATTTGGGAAAAGTCAATGGTACAAAGGATTTAAAGAAATCTAAATTGCATAGAACTGAAACAAATTAAGAAGCCCAAACAAGACAGCATTTTTGCGAACATCTTTCATTATAATACACTATTACTACTATTATTCCTAGGTCTGAATTACTAACTGAATTGTCATTATTAACTGGAATATATGATATCTGTGATATCAGAGTCACAGAAATTTTGTGATAAGTAGGAATTAATGATAATGCTGTAATAATAGTTAAAAATGTAAAATAGTAAAAAAAAAAAAAAAGTTATTGAAAATGTTTGTTCTGTTCAAGTAAAAGATATCTTTTGATAAATAGTTGAAGTATAGTAATATAGGTTAAAAAAAATTAAGTCATCAGAGGTTAGTTTCATAGATGGAGAATATACACTCTTGTTCCTTTTCATTTTTTAGTTTTGATTTTGCTTTTATATGGAAAAGATGGTTAATCTTTTCCATATAAAAGTATATATCTATGTACTAAAATAAACTACAAAATCTTTAAACTTCAGCACTTTAAAGGAAAAGTTTAATCAGCTGCATTTTCATTAGCATCTGTTGACTATATTTAAGTCATTATCAGACTATTCAAACAAAATTGGAGTATGTTTAAAAAGAAAATTTTGAATATACCCACGATTGGTCAAGTCTAATAAGCCTTCACTGTTACATAAGAGGCTTATTTAAAAAATGTAGGAACACATGCAATGATACAATTGATATTTACCAACAAACAACACAAAACATGTTAAGACAAACTTACTAAGATAAATAGTTACTTGTTACAGGATTTCATAAAATGTTCATCATATGTTTGATACAGCATAAATGTTCTTATAGTTGATGGAGCTGAGTGTGTTTTGTAGTCTCTTTTAATGGTTCTTCCAGTTAAAGTTATTATTTTTTATAATATTTTTAGTTTTACATTACATAAAAAGAACTATTTAATGGTGATATATGTAATTTTATAACATCAATATAAATTTTTAAAACATGAAAAAAGTTTGGGGCTCCAAGTTGTGAGGTTTCACATCTAATTATGCCACTGCTGTACATACAAATTCTATATTCCATAACTTTCTATTATCTGGGCATGTCCCTCTCTATCATTTCTAAGTTAAGAGTTTATAATGTACCCATCACAATTTTTAAAACAATGGATTCTTCGTGACTGCTTTATATAATATTTTCAGATCTTTCATTTAATTTTACAAGCATTAATATTATCATCATTGCATAATTATCTGTATTATATTTTTAAACACATGTATTATGTGATTTAGAATATTGTGAGTTATTGAATTGTGTGTGTAGATTGTATCATTGTTACACAATACAGTCATGTTGATGGCATACTATTTAACAATGATCTTTTACAGAAAGTAGTCTTATTGACACCTGAAACAAAAGTAATTATTACAATTAATAATTACTTGTATTTTATATATATTCTATATTTTATTACGTTAAACTTTTATTTATATGTTATGGACCAAGTGATTATGAACAATGACCAAAAAGGGCACACAGTCTGATAAATATTGATTAATTTATCAAATTGACCAGTCATTATGAATACTGCTATCACATAGTCGGGCGAGGTGATCACTATGTTGAGGAGTGATCATCCGATTAACAGTACCCATTTATTTATATGCAATTTATGCACTTCAGTACATAGCTTATCAAGATGCTAATTTTATATATCAATTACAGTCCCTGATTGAGAGAGAGAGAGTTTACAAATCAGTCGCATATTGGTAAATACCTTAGTAGAAGTTGGTTCCTTGGGGAATCATAGAATCAGCAGATCGATGTACTGCTGGTCCGCAAGGTGATTTGAAAGGTGCTTCGATGAATCAAAAGGGTGGAAGTCTTTGGATGTCTTGAGAAGGGCAGAGGATTGGTGACGGCTTGAGCAGTATCTGAAACAGAATCGGGAGCAAACACCAGTTTACAGGTGGCAAACTAACAATGATGACAAACTTTCCGTGTTGTCATCGGACCTTGCCTTTTATTTGGGGTTTTCCCCTTGCCCTTCGTTGGCATTGTTGCAATGACTTACCAATAGCAATTTTTTTCATTAGTTCCTGGTGACACATTCAATATGTCACCTCAAACAAGGAAGCAAGTCCATGGGAAATGTTATAATCATATCTTTTCTGATAATTTTTTTTCTTTTGAAAAACTTTTTTGCATAAAAGTTTTTCATCAAATTGTTACAAACGTTTTCGAACTTTCTGTTTTTCCGAGAAGCACACCGGCAACAGGTTCCCAGTACGTTTATTTGTTGTTTTTTGTCAAGTCTTGGCTCTCATATCTATATTCAAGCGGGAGGGGGACATTTTGAACATTTCATTAATTAACTCTCAAAGTGAAGCATTTTCAGATCTATGTTGTTTTAACTTATTTTCCTTCTATATAAGTGAGGAATCCATTTCTGAATTTTTGTCCCATATTTTTGAAATACTCTGTATACTTGTTTTAAATTCTCATATATAAAATGAGAATAATCAATCTTAATTTCTGTTTTAACTGATAATTGTTTTGAATTTGGTGTTTCTAGAATATCAGTATTAATAATAAAAGCAATAGTTTCTTTTTGGATTAGGTTGTTGAAACTACATGATAACAGTCAAGTTAAAGTAGTGTATAGCAAACTGTATAAAATATGTTTACTATACATATAAATGGACATTGACATTGAAAAATCTGTTAGATTGACACCGTTTCTCATTTCTAAGGTTGCTTCAAGATGCTAATTATAAAAGTGCCCACATGGTTACATCCCTGAACACTGGAAGTTTGGTTGTGAGTTTACTCCTCACCTTGGTGGGCTTGCCCAAATGGAGTTTTTCGGGTTTTCTCCATGTCTGTAACATCTGAATAGGAGCCAGTTACCCTTAAAAAGACCTTCTAGAAGGCATTTCTCTTTCACGTAACATCATGTGTCCAGAGAAAGCAATGGAAACTCCTCTGGTACTATCTTCCCCCTGGACATCACTTGGAATGCAAACTAATCTGTACTAACCTACACTGGGTGTTCACCAACATCAGGGTGACCTGATACGGCACATGGAAAAAAGTGTGTTACAAACAAAGCATACAAGAAGATTGGTTATTGCTGGAAAAGAACAAGCATTTTCAATTATGTTGTATTTTTAAAACAACTTAGATGTGTGAAGATTATTTGTTTATGGACATGAATTATCATATAAAATGATTAATTCAACAGCTGAGATGTGGTCAAAATTATATTTTGATGTATAACGGTAAACTAATAATAGGCCCTGAGAGAGTTTGCAGTAAATGTAGTTTGCAAACTATGAAACTTGGGAACATGTATTCTTTCACTGTATCAAATAGGAAAAAGTATTTGCAAAGCTATAATTAATTTATCTTGCATCTTGCTTTTCAAAAAAATGATTATTTTTGTGTAGTTTATTTTGTGGTATCCTGGACTAAGCTATTTAATTACAGTTAAACCTCGCTTAACAAGAACCTCGCATAACGAGCAAAACAAATTGTAAAAAATTGACTCGCTTAACAAGCAATACTTGTTTCGTATAACAAATGGCAAGGAGAGGGGAGAGGGAAAATTTCAGATTGTGCACATACTCCATCAGTCTGTGTTTAACACTTATTCTGCTGGCATCTTAGGGTTGCTTGTGATCACACATTTTTCCAAACTTGTGTTCACACATATTAAGTATAAACTTCGACAATCATAGCCCTTATACAGTAAACAACCATCTCATACTAAATTTAATGACCAATTCCAAATTAAATTCCATAAATGTCTAAATTAAAAATTATTTATTTATAATTATTAAATTTAATATAAGATGGCAGCATAATCTTCCTCTATTCAAATTAATTAATTTCTAATATTTAATTATAGCCTTTACATAGCCCAAGAATTTGGCATATTCATCAGACATATTATCTGGTTTTTTTGTTTTCTGTAAATCAAATTCACATTCCAGGTTGGTTCATTCTGTGCTAAAAGAAAAGATGATGATTCACACTTCTTAACAATGTATATTGTATAATTTTTTTGAATAAACATTATACATAAAATATTTGAGTATTTTTTTGACGTGGAACTCTCATTATTGTATTTTACATTAATTTCTATGGAAAAAATTATTTTGCTTAATGAGTGTTTCACATTATGAGTAAGATTCTGGAACGAATTATGCTCATTAAGCGCGGTTCCACTGTAATTTGTTAAAATTTTACTAATTTTAGATTTACATAATATGTATAAAAATATTTATTATTGTGTATTATTGTTTAGTACTAAACTATTACAGTAGAGCGTTGTTTATCCGCAAGTCGGTTATCCGAAAGAATTCCAGTCGGCAAATTTAAATTTTCGCTAGTGCTGTGGCGCTGCAATCTTTGGCTATATCTTGGGCTACTCCAATATTTTTTTTTTTTTGTTGATGTGTGTGTTTTAGCTGGCAGCACTGGCACTTTTGTCTGGTGTTTTTCTGAGGACTGTGTGTGGTGCTGAATCAAACATTTTTTATACTAGATTAACTTCTAAAGCAGTCATGGCCAACATACGGCCCACGGGCCAGATCCGGCCCGTCTAATGAATTTATGTAGCCTGCGATCAATCTTTCAAAATAGCTTGATGAAAAATTTTGACGCCTAAAAAAAAAAGTCAACAACTCACAATGCGTTTAGAGTTAATCCTCCATTACAAATCTCTTAAGTACAGCATAGAGTGTTGATAAAGCATGATAATGTGAAAAATGTATCTGCAATCTCTATCTACAATTCAGTCTCTACGGGGTGACACCACAAAATCTTCCTAGGGCAATTTCTGGTTCAGCCCACGGAAAGTTTTCTTTCCAATCTGGCCCGGGGGCAAAAACTGTTGGCCATCCCTGTTCTAAAGTATAAATTTTTATTTTTTGTTTGTAAGATTTTTGTTTTTATATTTTTCAATATATTTATTTTGTTTGTAAAAAATAAAGAAATAATTTTTAACGATACAATGGCCACAGTTATTATTTTAAAAAGTTTACATTAAGTTGGGCTTAACATTGATGAAAATTCAACGTGAAGCAACACGCGATGGAGAAAAATGTCAACATGGGATAGGTTAATATATTTTTTCATGCATAATCAGTTATTCAAAAAATAAGTTATCCGAATAACCCCAGTCTCCAATTGATTCGGATAAACGACGCTCTACTGTATATCAATTTGTTAAATTGTACTAACTTCAGTGTTTATGGAATACTCTCTTCTAATGAACTAAGGTTCATACAATAAAGAATTGAATTAAATTGAATTGATATAATTGTTTTTTAGATGAAAAGAAGTCTACAGATAAAATGTAATATTCTGATAAAAATATATTGCAACATTATGTTTTCTATAAACAGTTACTGCATTTCTCAAACTATCACTAAAAATTATTTGACTTTTATGTTTATTCTATTGATATATATATCATGGGCTGTGTGTGGTCTTTCCACATTCAACACAAATCTCACACAGTGACAGATGATACCCACAAGAGATGATCACCAAATTGGGCATTTGTGGACACTGCTACTATCATCCCACTTGCTGCTAGTAGATGTTCATGGGTTGTTTAAAATCATTGAACAATAGGGCCAGGGATTATTTTGTTAAAAAGTCAAAATTTGACCTTTCCCACCTTTATCAATTGATTACTCTTTTCTGTTTGAAATAGAGATAAAATCCTTATTTCAAATATAAAAGTTTAATATTTTCAGAATAACTTTAATTATGATTCTTGAATGAAAATATTCATAAAAACAGTGTGTTCTTATTTTAAATGAGTTAAATTATAAATAAGAAGTTTACATTATTATATATTAATATATATTTAGTTGATTTATGAGTAACATTATTACAAAATTCTAAGGAAAAAATTAATAATATAAAAGCAATAATAAATATGTAATTGTTTGTCTTTCATTGTAGGAAGAACAGAGGGTTTCATCACAAATAGCAGATAAAACAACTATTCTTCCTATTCATCATGATGATGCATATAAATGGTTTTATAGAGATCCACAAGGAGAAATACAAGGTATTTATACATTGAATTTGAACTTCAGATTATTTCAAAAATATATAACTTGGAAACTAATCAGCAGAATAACACCATATTTTACATGGCAACTTCAGTAGTGATGGAATTTTATTTGAAACAAAAAGTTAGCTATGAAAATGTCCACTGGGGCAGTAACTGGTGCTGCAATATTATGTGATTCAAAATGTCTCAAAACTTTATTCTTTAACATGTTCATGGCGTCAGTAGATAAATGTTTAGGCAGCTGCTGGGCGTTATGAGTCATGGGTGACTCATAGTCTATTTTAATACATTGTGGCACAGTCACCCGTGCCTTGTACTATTAAATTAATATATTTTATTGCACCTATTAAAATAATATTGATATATAAAGTATGATGATTGTAGAATTACATTATCAAAATATATTCGCAGCCCCACAAAAAAACAAGCAATTATGTCTGTAATCCTAACTAGACATGTCCATACGAGTCACGTGTGCCTTGTAATGCCGTGAACTTGTTAATGTTACATATGGTAATGTTCTAAGAGAACAAGTAATTAACACCTCAAAAATCCCTGATTTTAAAAAAAATAGCAATAAAACAAACAGCAACAAGTAATAAAGTAGGAAAAAATAGGTGTAGTTGTAAAATTTACAAATGTGAAAAATAATTGTGTAAAGACAAAAAAAGATCTTAAAATATATACAATTTCTTTTTACAAATGTTCTTAAAAGTTGTATAATGTAAGTGGAATAAATCCTTGAGCTCATTCAACAAGTGAGCGGTACAAATAAAAAAAAAGAGTATTGAGTAATGTATCTGTCCTAGAACATATATGTGTGATGGTATATTGTGAGTATTATGAGAAAGAATGCAAAGACTCATTCCATCTAGTGGTAATATACTGATAAAAAATATCTATAAAAGTGAATGTTGTTGAAATGTTGTATGCATTCAAAAAAAATCAGGAAATTTCAATCTGATAAAGGTGAGCTCAGAAGAAGCAGTATAAGGCAGATTAGCAAGTTTATTAAAAAGTAAATACACTTTGTGCAGTTCGGTAACAATGTGGTTTAATTGTAATGGATCATCAGCACACTACACAGGTAAACAATAATATATGAGAGATTGAAAGTTAATAAAGAAAAGTGATAAAGTGATTTCAAAGCATTTTTGATGAGATTGCCTTTACAGAATTGTCACATTACTCTGTAGTGAATATCTAGACCTTTTATATTATATGCATTAATTTACTCCCAAATTTAATTTGTAAAATATGTATTAATTTATTCTCTGAGGTCATTTATCAAATGGATGCAGATATTGCCTAAAATAATCTTCAGTTGCAGAGAAGTCTATAAGATAGTGGATAAACACATCCTACCTGAGTTATTAGGATTAACACACAAGTTGTAGGATTAAAACATGGAGGATAACTGAAGACTACAGCATTGTAAAATTGTTATTAATTAGTGTTATGTCAACAGCATATTCTGTAATATTTGATTTGAAACTAACAAGATGCCTGTTGATTTAAGCTGAGAAAAAAAGGTGCTAAATACTGATCTTTGTTGAAAGGTGAAGAATCAAAAAAAAAAAAGTTATTAATTTTAACTTTAAAAGTACATTATTAATTAAATTAGGCGAAAATTTACAAAAAAAAAAAAAAAAATAAAAGTACATATTGGCAAATATTTATTGAGCCAGACTGTAAAAATAGTGGTATAAAACATACAATACACATGGTACACTATGTGGTTATGCAGTTATATACATGACAACAACAATGTATGCATCATTACTATCATAGGGAGTTTGTATAATCACATTTACTTGTGATTATACAAACTTCCTATGATAGAGGCCATCATATTGAACTAGGGATTGTAAATTTACTGACTTTTTCATTTACCAATAATTCAGTAAATTAAAATTAAAATACCAGTTTATCGGTAAATTTTTTTCTTGAAAAATAAAATTAAGGTGATAAAAAACATAAGTCATTATGATTTCCATTTCACATTTTTTATTTCAAAGATAAAAAATATAAAAATTAAAGTGTTATTCTAAATAAACTATAATAATAAATATAGAAATAAACAGAAATAAAATAATACAGAAAAATAAAAATACAACAGAAATAATATATAGTACCTAATACCATTTTATTGATTACCCTTTTTTAAAATTAACTTCTCAAGAAACTTAATTAGGAGATAAGACTATAAATAATTTTTGATCTAATGTTTGTACAAAATAATCCAGATCCCGAGAATACCCTTTCTGATTCAACACTTGTTGGATGAATGGTCATTAAATTAAAATTAAACAAAAAATACCTCACATAAAATTAATAATGAGGTATATTGTTGCTTACACTTACCTGTTTTTTTTTTTTTTTTTCAATGTCCCTTTAGCCCTTTTAAATATCTATAAACACAATATTTTCTACATAGAAATTTCTAGTATGGATTTTTCATTTACCTAATTACCGGTAAATTTTTGAAATTTACCAATAGTAAGTTTACCGAATGTTTTTTTTGTCAATTTATCAGTAAACTGGTATACAATCCCTATATTGAACATACTGTTCCATAACCACACAGTTACCATGTATATTGTAAATTTTGAGACATTTTGAATTATTTCCTGTGGTGTTACAGGGCCATTTACTGTCCTATGGATGTTTTAGTTACTAACTGTTTTTATTTCAAATTAAAATCCATTACCACAAAACTTGTGAAATATGATGCTATTCTGCTAAATTAGTTCCCAAATTATATTGTTTTAAAATATAAACTTTAATTAAAAACACTTTGTATTTGTTTTCCTTACAATAATAATAGTTATAACAATTTTTAAAAATATGTTCTGCTTTTAAAAAATTTGTTTTCCTTACAATAATAATAGTTATAACAATTTTTAGAAACATGTTCTGTTTTTAAAAAAAATTTTTTATACTTTCTCTTTTCCTTATGTAAACATATATACAAACATTTTTTAATATATAATAAATCAGTATCTATTATTTTGCTATATTGTACATATTTAGCAACTTGTTGATAATTTCTTGGCAAATCAGGTCATTTTATATATAAGGACCTTGAATAAGTTCTCCTGTTTTCGAACAGATGGCGTTACCAGAACCACGTGTGTTTATTTTTAGATGGTGACACATCTGTAAGGAAGTACAATAAGCGACCTTGAAATTCAGTATACGTCATTTCATCAAAGTGTAAACAACTTATTTTTTCATTGTGTTAAACATGTCTAGTTTCGTGCCAAAAAAAGAGTATTTGCGGGGAATTTTATTGCACTATTTTATTCAAAAAAATTGCAGCTGAAGCACACAGAATTCTTGTTGAGACTTACGGCGACCATGCTCTGTCAGAAACAACATGCAGAGATTGGTTTAGACGCTTCAAAAATAATGATTTTGATGTTGAAGATAAAGAACGATCTGGTGCACCAAGACAAGGAATTAGAGGCATTACTTCGTGAAGACTCATGTCAGACGCTAGCTGAACTTGCAGAATCATTAGGAGTTGATCACACAACAGTTTCGAAACGTTTAAAAGGATTAGGAATGATTCAAAAGCAAGGACATTGGGTGCCGTACGAGTTGAAGCCGAGAGATGTCGAACGGCGTCTTTTCACATGTGAACAGCTGCTTCAACGGCAGAAAAGGAAAGGTTTTCTGCATCGTATCATGACTGGTGATGAAAAGTGGATACACTACGATAACCCTAAGCATAGAAAATCGTGGGGTAAGCCCGGTCATGCATCAACATCGTCAGCAAGGCCGAATATCCATGGTTCGAAGCTTCTGCTCTGCATTTGGTGGGATCAGCTAGGTGTAGTTTATTACGAGCTGCTCAAACCAAACGAAACTATCACGGGAGATCGCTATCGACTACAATTGATGCGTTTGAGCCAAGCATTGAAGGAAAAACGGCCGCTATATGAGCAGAGACACGACAAAGTGATTTTGCAACATGACAATGCTCGGCCACATGTTGCACAACCGGTGAAAACGTACTTGGAAACGCTTAAATGGGAAGTCCTACCCCACCCGCCATATTCACCAGACATCGCCCCTTCCGATTATCACTTGTTCCGATCGATGTCACGTGGCCTGGCTGAGCAGCACTTTCGTTCTTATGAAGATGCCAAAAAATGGGTTGATTCTTGGATAGCCTCAAAAAACGTGTCGTTTTTCCGACATGGAATTCAAATGCTGCTAGAATGATAGGAGAAAGTAGTGGCTAGCGACGGACAATACTTTCAGTGACGTGTTTATTACGACTTTTTTTAAATAAAGTGTTAATTTTCACAAAAAAACAGCGAGAACTTATTCAAGGTCCTTATACAATTTTTTTTTTTCAATGTCCCTTTAGCCCTTTTAAATATCTATAAACACAATATTTTCTACTTAGAAATTTCTAGTATGGATTTTTCATTTACCTAATTACCTGTTAAACTAGTACTATCTAGCTGGCACTTCATGGAACAAATTTCATGACCGACAAATGAAGAAAAAATCAAATTCTGTTTGAATTTGTTTCTCTATTTTTTGTTTTATAGTAGAGCATTCTGCAGGTATCAACCAATGTAATAATGTATTAAGTTTAATAAATTTAATTAATAATTACTTTGTTGTAGGGTAATTGTGCATGCTTTCACCTGTTATATATACCTTATTACTGACTGATAGGTTTTTATGTTGCATTTGTTTTATTATGAAAGAATAAAAGTAGAAGAGTTATAATGTTATATTTTAAAAAATTAATTAATTTAATGGTCTTATTAAATTTATATAATTTTAGTTCTTGAATTATAAATTATACAGGGTTTATCAGAATGACGTTTTAAAAATTTGAGGGATTGTAGAGGATGAAATTTTGAATGTTTTAATATAAGGAACCTATGGCCAGAAATGTGATATAAAGTTTCTACAGCACTTTGCATGTTCTATGCGGTCGGTATGCTGAATGCAACAACAGAATATAGTATTTATGACAAGTTTTATTGACAAAACAGTAGCGTACAATCAAACTGTACATCGAATCAATGGCTGCACTAGTTTACAGCCAATTTTCAATGTGACGACCACCAATTTTGTTACATAATGTGCAACGACAAACCGTGTTTTGTCTGACTTTCTGTAAGATGCCATGCCACTCTGATGGTATTAAATGCTGTAAAGATGCGCTCCGTAAGCTTATGAACTGTTCCTACAGCTGTTGCATACACAAGGAATTCGCATTGACTAGCTGTGTGTTTACAGCACAGCGCCAGTGGATACAAGGAGGGACCTGAAGGACAACAAGCACTAAGTACACAACGTCCTGTACATAGGCTCAGTTAGACTACTGTAGTTGTGTGTTTATAGTCTTCCATTCACAGCAATAACATGATGACTATGGATGGAAGGATAGCTACCAACGTGAAGGGTGGTCAAGCAGTTCCTACCACTGTAGACACTTTAGTTCAAATTTCCAGCTGTAGGTTATATAGCTATATATCCAGCTATAGGTTATAGATATAGCTTATATCAAAACGTTTAAAATTTCATCCTCTACAATCCCCCAAATCTTTAAAACGTCATTCTGATACACCCTGTATAAAAACTAGTGTGTGTTTGTTCATTTCTCTAGAAAAGTGATTTTTAGTCTGGGATGCATGTACTTTTGGAGATGTGAGATTTCTTCATGATACCTTTTATAGATGATAGAATTATTATTGTAATTCAAACACAAATTATTTATTGTATTTATACAGACACTTGGCAAATCACAGAATTAAATTTTATTCAGAATTAAATACCAGAATAAGAATTATTATTGTTCTTTTGAATTTTTTAGATGTTTTCATTGAGAACAGTTGTTTTCTCAAAAATAAAATTACAATAAAAATATACAAATATCCAATTTAAAGTTACATATTTTTTCCATTGTAAATTCCTAATCTAGAAATAAATGCTTTTATATTAGTGAATGGACAATGGACACAGATAAAACTTTCTTTTTTTAATAACTTAATTGAATCTATTTGAAGGATATTTTTCATTTATATATCATGTAGCTCTGGGTAATTCATTTATGAAATTTGAAAAATTAGTTCTTGAAAAGTTACTGATCTCTGACCTAGATACTTTTTAACTATTTTAAAATTAAAAGAATAATGGTAGTATGTTAAAAACATTTTATTTATGTTTTAAGTATAATGGATAACATTTTAGTCTGATGTTTCTGAATATAGAGCAAAATTTTATAATACCATATTGAATATATTACTTTTGAAAAATATATGAAAATTAGGATATTCACTACAGTAAATAGTTTCCTATGTTCAGAATTTTAGAAGCTAGGGAAGGCTTGGTTTGCTGACTTAAGAGTCAAATTCATCATTAAAATATTAATTTTAATTATTATTTTAGTGGTGTTGGTAAGGAAAACATAACTTGATAGATTTGTAATTTACTGCATTCTGAATGTAGTTATTTTGTTAAGCAAAATATTATGATTTTAATTTTTTGACTATGGTTTTAATTTCAGCAAAAGATATGAAAGCTATAGTAGCTGATTAAAAGAATAATTTTATAATAATTAACTGATATGCTAAGCTTAAATAATAGATTAATTTCTATTTAAAATAAAACTTATCAAAATTTACATTTTTCAAGGTCCCTTCACTCCAGCAGAGATGTTGGAATGGTTTACGGCAGGTTATTTCACAATGGCTTTGATGGTGCGTCGAGGTTGTGATGAGAGATTTGCACAACTAGGTAAATATTTTCTTTTTTATATTAGGCTGCAATTTTCAAATTGCAGACCTGTATATTCCCACTGTCCCTTTGCCTGTCTGTCTTTCATTAATCTCAATAGTGGAGTTAGATAAATGAAAATTGAGACTAGATGTTGAAAGCTTAAGGGCTGGAGTCCATGATTAACTGTATAAATACTGGAGTTAAATAAATGACCAGCATGACTTGATTGTTATCAGAAGTATGATGATCAATGGCAAGACACCACTAAAATTCAGGCCAGATATGGAAGGCTTAGGTGCCAGAGACCCTGATTAACTACATACAAATTTCAGGTCTGAATCAGAAATCATGTAATTTTTTCTTTTAATTAAAAGGTGGTTAAAAATTGCAGCCTGATATTGAGATGATGTCACAGTAAATAATTGTTTGTTTTATTTGCATTACCCTGGGAATGTTGGACTGGTGAATGACAAGACTGTAGAGACTCTACTCAGTCTGCTGTATTTAGTTACTGATATTTACATTATTTATTTTACTTTTTGTTTCAGTTATTTTGAGTTTTGAGAGTTGAGTTATGTTAAACCTCAATTGCTATCTCAACATTTTCCAACCAAAACTTTGTTTGCATAATTTCATACCGAAAATTAGTAATGAATGAATTGGATCCTACTAATTTAGGGTTTAAATATGATTAAAACATTAAATAACATTCTACTATATTTTTGTAACCAGATATTAATAGAAACACAAGTTAAGAAACATTTTAATTTTTGTAAGCAAGTTCAATATGCAAATTAACAGTGTGTAAAAGACCATTACCAAACAGACAAAGCAAGCTAGACTTCATTTCTGCTGTTGAATTGTAAGTGCTTGATTGATTGATTTTATGCTGATTAGAAATTTTTCTTCTGTTAAGTTGTTTTCCTTAATCAGCTTAATTGTTAGATTTTGCAAATTGTACTAATAATCAATTTTGTCATTGTTGTAAATACTGAATTTGAACTTTATAATATTTGAGTTTTATACTAATTAGTGTTGTTGAAATCATAATTTTTGTTTTGTAGTCAGTAAGTCCAATAGTTAAGACAGTTACAGTTTAATAAAGCTTTTGATATTTTACAAAATTTGATGCAAGTGTTGTTTCTTTCATATTTTGGACCTTGCAAAGTGAGTAAAAGATAACCACAATAATGTTATTAACCATGGCTCCCCAACCAAATGAAGACAAAAATGACATCAGAGAAGAATTTCCAAATTACAAATAGATGAAAAAGTATCTGTTGGTTGAGTATGGCTTCCTGAATGAAAGAACAGATAAATAGGTTTGAAAAAGAAAATTTTGAGTCATTTACTATAAAATTATGTATATTACTATACATAATTTTATGCTACTTTTTTTATTTTTTTGAAATCAAATACCTGTTTCCAAGGTGGATATTTTCAAATCAGATTTTGATGTGAACAATGAAATGTGTATTTTTAACAACAATCCAAACAAATTTTTTTGAATCGATGTCTAAAAAATTCCATAAAACTGTGCATATCAGTGTTAAAAAGTTTTATTATGCATTCTCACAAATTAAAATATCAGAAATTTGATTAATTTTAAAGAATACAGGACCAAATTCAAAAACCAGATAAAAAAATATGAAATCTGAATGATTCAGTCAGAAGGAATAGAATGCTGTACATTGTNGTGTCTTCTAGTTGTGTAAACAAAATTTTTTACAAATAAGCCATAAAATGCTAGCTGTCAAAATATATAATGATAATACGGTTTAGAACGAAAATGGCGGGAAAAATACCACTAATCCGTCTAGTGGTAAAAAAAAACGAACTTACTTTCCAAACAACCCAATATATGCTAATGCTTCAGAGTTTTTGATTTTGATGAGTAAAAGCTGTAAAGAACTGTAATGTTAGATTACTACATAGATGTAAAATTTATATTTATTTAATTAATTTTGAATAAAATAAACTAAAAATATTTCTACAAATAATATTTTGTAAAAAAGGATTTTGATACTTTATGCACTTACATTTTCAAAATTTTAAAATTTGTTTATCAAGGGAAAATATTTCTTAATTCTTGTGGAATAATGCTTGAATATTTTGATATAAAGAATTAGGCCTCTAAAAGATAGTTTTGCTTAATTTAGAAGATATATTTTCTTCTCACTTAAAAACAGAAGAAAAATTCAGTTAAAAATTATTGATAAGACCAAAAATTATTTGTAAAATTGAGGTAAAAGGTGTTAAATTTTAACCTAAAATTATAAGTAGTAATCTACCATATTTTATTTATAATTTTATAACAATAATTATTTATTATTAAATATGATATTTATTTACTATATTTTATGGCTTTTAAGATATAATCCTATTTCAGCACAGAATATTTAGGAAAACTGTTTAGTGTATTTAAATTATCCTATGGCTTTAGCAGTTGTCCCCAAAATTGTTTTATTGTATTCTGGTTTAAAACAAAGTAATAATAATACGTTTAGTTAAACAATAACATTTTTATTTTAAAAGTTGGACAGGTAGAGGTTATATGTGGATTACTGAAGGTCATTTGGGAATTCATTAGCCTATGGATCACAACTTTACATGTAAGATGCACTGTGATGATTTTTTTGAGCCTTTTCTTTGGACAAATTTCTGTCCTGTATGTCATAAAATATGGTAGTTACATTATTCCATAGCATTTGGATAATATTTTACAAATATGATAAAATTTAAAGATCTTTTTGTCAAAATGTTTTGCTTTGTGAAAACAATAATTATAAATTACATATATGTGTTATTTTCAGCATCAGAGACAACTGGAATTAGAACTGAAAAGAGAATTAGAAGCTAAAAAAGAATTAGAATTACAGAAAGAACGAGAAAGACAAAAAGAGTTGGAGTTAGAACGACAAAAAGAATTAGAATGGCAGAAAGAAATGCAGAAACAGAGACAGCAGGAAGCTCTTCGCAAGTTACAAGAACAGCAAAGATCTAAACCACAGGTAAAATATATATATATATATATTTTTTTAACTCAATAGTTTTAAATATAGAAGAGTAGAAATCCAATTTACAGAATGTTTTTGATTTTTTATCCTCAGAAGGAATTGCAGACTATTAGAAAAAGATTTTATTGTTTACAATTAAATAAATTCTATACCATCTAGTAGCTAATTATTGAGATTTCTCGTTCATGAAAAACTTTTATAAATACTGCATATTTTATATTTGTTTATTGATAAACTGATATATAAAGAAACAAATTTTTGTAAAAGATTGTTTTTGTTCTATTTAATGCAGTTTATTAATAGGTTTGGTAAGGGTTTTTCTATTTTCTGAATTTTTTCATTCCTAGGAAATCATGATTCAAAATACTGAATCTTGATTTCTTGGGAATAAGGACAAGTAAGCTAGCCATGGTCTTCATTATAAGACATTACTTCTGATTTTTGTCTTGTGCATGTGATAGAGAATTCGCTAAATCGACAAGTGCTTTCGACAATAATTATTTTTGTCTTCATCAGGTCGTTAAAACATTTAAAATCCTTTTTTGAATACAAATAACAAATCGTTCCAANCTGGGGGAAAGTGCCATTCATGTGTAATACAAATCCTCCACCACTCAGGGTAAGAACATAGAATAAATTGAGTTTTTTTTTTTTATAGAAAAAACTTAAAAAACATTATATCCACTGTATATATATAGACATAGACACAGTGGATATAATGCTTTGATACCCCTGTATATACATATATATATATATATATGTATATACAGGGGTATCAAAAGCTTACTGAAAAACTTCAGTATAAAAGATAACAAAACAATCATTTTTGTTAATAAAGCCATATCCTCCAATGAACTGTTTTTGGCAATAGAGCAAATTAAAATTTTAAAATTAAATTTTTAATTTAGAGCCACTGCACACTGCAGCAAGTGAGAATTCAGGCAGGTTTTTTTTTTTCTTTCTTTGTGTTATGTTGTGATAAAAACATAAATGAAAATACTTTTATTAAAAGTCGTTGAAAAATTTCAAAAAGGTAGTAGTCTCTTGTGAGAATCTGGAAATTTAGGGGAGGGTCATTTTAATCAAAATAACAAGTTGAAGAAAAGATTAGAAAAATTAAAAGAAATTAATATTTTTTCAACTTCAATGAAGTTTCTAAAAAACGGAAAAACATCCGATTTTGAAAGGAAGTTGATTTCCTTTCCCAGGCCAACTCATGATGAGTCGAGCTTTTGCACACATTACTGAAGAGAAAATAAAAGGGACGATCTCCCACCCATCAAGGCAGTCGGTTGGAAAAGGGTTGCCACATGAAGAAAGTCTGACATACGATAAAGGCAGTCCGGTGAAGAAAGGAATTGCCATACAGAGAAATCTGACATCAATAGAGGCAGTCCATTGAAGAAAGATTGTCATATGATTTCGTCTTATGATAGAATACTACATTCGAAGTATACAAGAGAAGATTTAAAAGGACTTTCCAAAGAAAATCTTAGAAGAGAAATAATCAAGAAAGGAAGAAGACCCTCAAATAGATATAGAAAAAGATACGATAGACCTAAAGAAGAAGGTAATATGAACACTGGTAGATTGATGTGAACTCTCTCTCATGCGTTCAGTTTAGAAATAATCTTAGGTTAAAAATTAGAGTTAAGATTAGGTTTAGAGTTATTCTTCTGTATAGTTTCATATTTTTGATCCATTAAATATTTTGATTTGTTATATAAATATGGCTTTTTTAATATTAATGTTAGATATTTATGAGTTTAGGGATAACGCGTGTTAATCCATGTATAAAATTAAATCGATTAACTGGTGTCGGGACTCCTGACGTAAGGATAAGGTGATTCCGCAATCATCAAAATTCCATTAGCTAAAGCCCTCCACACTCGATTTTCTTTGAATAGAAAAACCATCCCTTTTAGACAAACAGAGGGCTATTCTAGAGAATAGTTGCCAAGTAAGTGATACTAGAGTCTTACCACTTGGTATCCATGGCTTAGCCCCTCACACTCTGCTATCAGCTGGCAACCGCAGTACCTTCATGTTTTGTTTGTTATTCATTTACATATTCTAAATTCTTTAAAATGACAATAATTTTTATTTTGAAAAACTGGCTGACATACATCTTGTTTATGGTAAAGCAAATAGTAATGGACAAAAAGCTTCACACTTGTATAAAGAGAAGTATCCCAAGAAGCTATCAAGATTTTCTGGCAGAAAATATTCCATAAAGTCAGTGAATACATAGTTTCCATTTTAAACACTTGCTGTTAATTCAAACAATTTGCTGTATTGCCAAAATGGCTTATTTGTGGCATGGGTTTATCAACAAAAAGTGATTGTTTTGGGGTCCTTTATAACTCTCTGAATTATGTTTTTGATACATGAAAAAGTCACATAATTAATGGAAATATCTTCATATGAAATCATTTTAATAAAATAACAAATGATATTGTTTTAAATTGAAAAGGATTTAAAATTTTACAAAATATGAATAATCTTTTTTTAATTTCAGGTAAATCCTATGTCAAATCCCATATCTCCTCCTTTAACTCAAAATAATGTTCCACCTCCTGCTCTCCAACAGTCTAATAAAGAAATAATGAGAATGATTCAGCAGCACTTGCTGCAACAGCAGATAGCCCAACAGATGATCAGGTTAATCAAGAATATAAAATAGTATTAGAAATAATACATTTATAAAAATATTTTATTTATGTATTAAAATTTTATTTAATTTTTTAATTTTAGACAGCAAGCTCAAATTCAGCAATTAATAAATCAGTTAAAGCAAGAAGAAAGTTTTAATAATCTTACACCTCAGCAACAACAAATGGTTGTAACACAGCACTTAATTGCTCAACAACAACTTCAGAGGTATATAAAATTGAATAAATTCATTGATTTTTGAAGATTGAATATTTTACTTTAAATTGTGATCTTTAAATAGGTCTACATCAGGAGCGCTAGGTGAACAACAGAACATTCTTGATCTGTTATCTCGAAATCAGCTGCCACCTTTAAATCTTTCTCTTCCTCAGATGTTAAAAAATGATGGTAGTTCTCTCTGGGGTTCTCCTCCAACTGGTTGTAAGTAATTGTAAACTAAATCCTGAATATACAAAAACTAATATAAAACATTGCTTATTTCTAAATTTCTTTATTTTTAAATTTAATCAAAAGTATTTAAATTTAAAATATATTATTACAGTTCCAGTTTCATGGCCTTTCAATGCCAATAACACCAACCAGACTGGTGGGGGAAGTATCTGGGATATTGATCCTCATCAGAATAGAATGTTAGAAGATCTTGAAAATGAGAGAGAAAGAAAAGTTTGTTAATTTCTGTTATTTGAATTTAATGTAATGAAATAATTCTGAAAATCACACTTCAATTTTAATTATTATAATTTTTTTCTTAGAAAAAGGAGAAAGAGGAGGAGGAAAGGAGAAAGGCAGAGGAAGAAAAGAGGCGTTTGTTAGAGGAACAGAGAAGAGCTGAAGAAGAAGAAAAACAAAAAAGAGAGGAAGAGAAAAGACGTCAAGAAGAAGAAGAAAGGAGGCGGCAAGAAGAATTTAAGAAACAAGTAATTTATTTTAATTATTAATAACTAGTGTTACTGTTAATGTTTTTATTTATTATTATTTTTTAATAATTGAGTCATTGATGTCTTAATAAAGATGTAACATTCAAAATATAACTTTTGAGTATATAATTTCTGTATTTATCCTGGATATACAGTTATCCCTCAGTATCTACAAGGGATTGATTTAGGACTTTCCACAGATACCGACATGTATGGATGCTCAAAGTACTTATTTGAAATGATATAGTATTTGCATATAACTTATGCACTGTATATCCTTTCATGTATTCATTAACTCCAAGTATCAGTAATTCTCTCTATATTACTTATAGTATTTAATATACTTACATCAGTGGGTGCAACAATGACATATCCAAACTGACAGTTTTGAGTTATTGTAATCACTTATTACCATTGTCATTACATTTCCAGTAATAAAGTTTCATTCAATTCTTCTGCTTGGTGCATAACTTTTTAATCAATGAGTGTACTTCCATGCAAAGATTCTTATATTTTTTATTCAGACAGTATAGAGTTAATTGTTTTCCCTCCTTTCTTTAATAAACTGCTATAAAATTGAAGGCACTTTTGTGCCTTTTATTCAAGTAAATACTTATTTCTTGGTTAAAATGTTTAAGCTTTATAATTTTAATGTCCATTCTGGATATTTATTCTTTGAGCCATTATTTTACTATTTTCTTTTGATTAATGCATAAAAATCTAATTCAGAGAAATTAATAAAAGTACAGTAGAGCGTCATTTATCTGAAAGCTGGTTATCCGAAACGTCTGTTATCCGAAAGCATTCCAGTTGGCAAATTTAAATTTTCGCTAGTGCTGTGGCACTGCAATCTTCGGCTATTTCTCGGGCTACTCAAATATTTTACGTTTTTGATACTAAATTAACATCTGAAGTATAATTTTTTATTCTTTTTATATTTTTCAATAAATTTATTTTGTTTGTACAAAATAAAAAAATAATTTTTAACGATACAATAGTCTTCGTTAGGCTTAACATCGACGAAAATTCAACGCGAAGCGACACACAACATACAGAAATTTCAACATGGGATAAATTAATATATTTTTTCGTACATGATTCGTTATCTGAACCACCCCAGTCCCCAATTGATTCGGATAAACGACGCTCTACTGTA